GCAGCAAAAGAATAAATAAGGGCTCTGAGGAGCTTTTATCTCAAGACCTGGGGTGGATTCTGGAATTGGGCAGCCAGGCCCAAGCACCCTCAGCAGCAGGTTCTAAAGCCCAGGTTCCAGGTCCAGCCTAGGGCAGGCCTGGGAGTGAACACATTAATAATAACAGCAGCAGAAAAACTGTCCAAGCTGCCATTAAGCTTTTCTGAGTCAACCCAACAGTCTTTTATTGGGAAGTCTTCCAGTCTCGCCCCTTCTTAGTCTTGCATCTCAGTAGACTTCTAAACAAGTAACTTCCTTGCTTGTATGTCAGTGGATTTTCCCCCACCCAGCATAAAATTCAAACCCATTCTTGTGAACCACAAGGGCTCTCCCAAGCTCTCCTACACTTATCCCCTTGCACAGGCTTCAATGACTTTTTGCTTCTAGAACTACACCAAGCTCACGCCACCTCCCCATCCCAGCTTCACAGCAGCTATTGCCTTTGTGGAGTTACATCCTGTTTAGGTCTCAAATCAACTGGTCTCTTCAGGGAAGTCTTTTAGTTTTCTTCCATCACATTTACACCTACTTCTTAGTGTTTATCATTACTAGAATGAATTCCTGAAAGCAAGAAACTTGTCTTTGCTATTCCCCTCTGATGTTTTTACTCTTGGCCCAATTTCTAGAACACAACAGATATATAGTAAATCTTAATCTTTATGACCCTGGGAAGTAGATATCATTACTGCCATTTTCAAATGGATATTAAAGAGATGGCCCAAGGTTACACTGCCTTAAATGTTCATACTAGGATTCAAGTCCAGATTTTTATGCCATGTCACAGTGATTTTGGTGACTCAGCATGTGTAAAGACCCACTGTCGTCAAATTCAAACAGCCAACTTGCTCACAACTCAGCCTGCTCTCTAGCTATATTAGTTCCCAAGGCCCAGACTCTTCAATGCATGATGCTGAAAGGACTCAGTGCAAATCAAAGAAATTCATATCAAGTATAATACATATAAATGGCCCCTTGCAACAGTTGTTCAAGAGTTAGAGATGTCAAAATGTGTCAGTTATGTAAATTGATTGATAAGTGTCCTGATTAGTCATTGTGAATTACTTCCTTTTGAGGAATTTTCAGGGCTCTTTAAGGTAACCAGAGGGTTTTCTTTTTCTTTTCTTTTCTTTAAATAGACACGCACTGATGACTGGGTAAGCAAAATTACGACATCCATGCCATGGATTATTCAACTACATGAGAAATGGAGTGACATGTATTACAATAAACTTGAACCTTGAAAACACTATGGTAAGTGAAAGAAACCAGATGAAGAAGACTGTGTACTGCCTGATTTCATTTACACATAACGTCCAGAACAGACAAATCTATAGTGACAGAAAGCAGATTTGTGGGTGCCACGGGCTGGGGGAGTGACTGCTTAATGCTAATTTCCTTTTAGGGTGATAAAAATGTTCTGGGAGTGTTCATTGGGGGAGGATTGCACAGCATTGACAATGAAATAAATGCCACAGACCTGTGCACTAGAAAATGACAAATGTTATATGTATTTATCATAATAAAAAATCATCAGTGAATCAGAAAATAGAAAATGACAGTGGCATATCTCAGTTACATTTTGAATAACTATGCATAACCCTAGCAAGATGAATTTTTAATAAGAGGGCAGAGCATACATACACAAATAAATAAGAGCTATGATTGTGATATACACAGATTTAAAAAACATGCAATCTTAATTTAACCTCTCTTAAGGAGAGAGAGAGGGATAGGTAGGCCAAGCCCAGATGGCCTGCAGTGTGCTGGGAAACAGCCATTGCCCAGCGGGCGGAGCTTGCCGGGGAGTGAGGCCCTGTTTACGGAATCTGCTTCTGTATCTTTCTTTAGCACATAAAAGCAGATGGCACATTAACGACGCTCATGGATACATAAACAGACGCTTTGTGGGCCTTTCCACAGCTGCCCTTGTTCAGAGGCCTGCATTCTTCACCTAGCTGCCTCAGCGCTTATTGGGACAGGAGTATAGAAAGTGGTTTTGGCCTATTGCTTACCTCTGAAAATGTTGGAGCGGTTTCAACTCAAGAATACCTATGTCCAGTATTAAAAAACTGGATGGTGGAAGTTCCGAGACACCTCTCAAGGCGTGGGCACCCCCAAGTGCAGCTTGCTTTCCAGCAAGGTTAGCACATCCCTGCTGGAGTTGGATGGGGTGTGTTGGATGGGGTACCTCTGCCCTGCTGTTCTCCACCGGGTGACCTGGCCCTGCCCTCAAACGTAAATCCTCTCACCCCTCAAGGTGAAACTTAAGCCCCACATTATATTTCCATTTTTCTTTGGTACCTGGAAAATGTGTCTCTTATAACCAGAGAGCAAGTTTTCTGATGCTGAACCTCTTGTAATCACGGGATGCCCACAGCCAGACACAGCCTTCACTGCCCTCAGACCCCTATCCCCTCTACTCCAGTATTTCCTTGATTTTCCTCTGTTGGGTCACTCTGTCAGTGATCGGCTCAGGGTGAGGTGTGTAAATTATAGCAGACCCATGAGACTCGGCAACACTGTGGCTTTTGCAGGAATCTTTTTCTTTAGGAGCCGCTGGGACACATCATTGCCAACTCGTGGGATGCTTGTCCGAGTACAAAACCAAGAAAGAGTCCCCTTGGGCCTGTTTGAGGCTCTGGGTTGCAATGGGCTTACTGCTTGGGTTTTGCCATTTAGGTGCCAACAACTTCCCTTCCTGCTGCTGGATGGTTGCTTCCAGTGGCAAGAATGCTAATGTGCCTCCCAGCACAAAAGAAGTATTTGTTGACTGTTTGCAGCTCTGTCTAAGGAAGTTAAGTGGATTATTTATTATTTGCATGAGAAATTCTTATTGTGGCAAAATATACAGAATGCTCATCATTTAGCATGATGATGAATGCATGAATGCACTCATGTTGTTGTGCAACCATCACTACTCTCCATTTCCAGAACTTTTTCATCATCCTGCCCTGACGCTCTCACCCATTAGACAGTAACTCTCCATTCGTTCCTCTGCCCAACCTTTGGAAACCATTATTGTACTTTATTTCTGTGCATTTGATCACTCTATGTGCACTCAAGTGAGTAGAACCATCTATCATTTTTGTGGCACACTGGGATTATTTCCACCTTTTGGCTAGTTGAGTAACAGTGCTGTAATCATGCGTCTGCAGATATCTGTTCCAACCCCAGCTTTTAATTCTTCTAGGTCTAAACCTGGATGTGAAATTGATAGATCATTTGACAATTCGACTTAACTTTTTAAGGAACTGACTTCCATACATTCCCACCACTGTGCCCATTTCTCCACACACTCACCAGTGTTTATTTTCCATTTATTTGGAAATATTTACTTTAGAAGATGGAATTGTGAGCTCTTTGTATATCTTTGTGATAAGTCTCTTATCTGTTAAAAAAAAAAAAAAGACGGACATTGTAATAAGGCTGGCTATGAAATTTATTCCATTGGCCTGTCTGGGAGCACTGAAACCAGAAGTTCATTGGCTCTTCGGTAGCACACTTTCTTTGTCATTTTCTACTCTATCATACTAACAGGCTGAGCTATATAATAGTTCCCAGGACAGAGAAGCCTGTTCTGGAGTTAAGTCCCCTGCCTGGGGACTAAGAGGGGGACGGGAGTGATGCCAGGCACATCTGCCTCTGGATAACCTGTTTCCTCAAGTTTTGACTTTTTCGTAAGAGTGAAGTCGCCTTTGTATGCCCCGCAGGGCCCTCAGAGCTCAGTGAAGCTGCAGTGGAATCATGTACTCTGGGTGCATTCCCTTTAATGTTAGCAACTGGCGTCCTTTCACACTATTGCCTCTGAAACTGTGTCCACTGGCCTTGGCCAACTTTTGCTGAAGTCCCGAGGACAAGATGGCGGGCATATGAAACATGAGATCAGGGGCCAGGCTGCCATCTCGTAAAGGCTTTATTTCTACTTCATCATAGTCTTATACAGACTCCGAGGCACCAGCCTTTGTTTCAATTTAGTAACCTCATGAATTTTGTAGTGTTTTTCCTTAAACAAACAAACAAAAAATTGAGTAAACACTGTATATTGCCCATTAATCCTTTAACAATAATTTTAAAATGCCATTGCTGTTGTATCATCAATGCAAGAGGACAACAATAAAAATACAGTACAAGGGAATCACAATGTTTTACAGTGGACAACAACTCACAAGGAGAGATGGTGAGACCACGCGGGGTGATGTACATGCACACCGGTGCTTCGAACCTGAAGACGTGCAGGTCGAGGAGGATGTAGGGATTATACAGACAATTCTGTAAGCCCAGTGAGGACTCCGTACATTTTCAAAGAAATGCTAACGTATAGGACCTCTGTCCTGTCTACTGGCTTCATGACTTTTTTTTTTTTTTCCACTACAAAATGTTCACTGAATCAGACAGTCTGAAGCATTTCAAAATTCTGAATAAGAACACTGACCAAATAAAATTAACTTAAAACACTGGGATTCAACGTGGGAAATAAACCAAACCAAAATGTAACAGTGCAAATTCAACAGAGAGGCAGTCAGTATTGGGGGCAAGGGTTCGGAATCTCTTAAAATGTACATCTTTAAAACTTTTATATCTTAAATTTATTTATATCTTATTTACCTTTATGTTTAATATACTGTGTAAAAAAGATGGAGACAAAAATAGTTTTCTGAGCTATGAAAAAAATTATTACAGGCACGTTTACTGTTTCATTCTAGAAACATCTCAGTTTCACAGGTTGAACATTCAGCAGCTGTGTTTTTTAAAAAACATTCTTTGACCTTGGGAAAAAACTAGCTCTCTCCTTTTGGGCAGAGTTTGGTAGATGACAATGGTGTGGTTTTGCAAATTACAGTGAATTATTCCGGGATAATCCATGCAAACTTGCATCACGTCACAGGTGTGGTTTCTCCCCGGGGGGGCTCCTCGTCGCCCAGTTCCTCCAGGGAGGTCGGGTCTCCGGGTGACGGAGCCAATGAGGCAGTGAGGGGATGTGGGGCCCAACGGGATGGAGGGCGACGGTTTGCTGGTCTCTCGGGCCTGGAGAAGCAGGGTTCAAGGGATGGAGCTAGTGCGGAACAAGGTAGTTCCTTCAAAGCCAAGAAAGAGAAAGACAGTTATTGAGACCCGTAGCTCCAGAGGATGATATCCCAAGCATATCTCAACAGATAAAAGTTAGATGCAACAGGCAGGGGCAACTTCTGAAAGTTAGCTTCTGTTTTGCTCATGGAGAATAACTTAAGATGGTAAGGAAAGAATTTAGCGGGAATGGTTCAGTGATAATAGCAATAGCAGATACAAATGATGATTAAAGTATGTAATGATGGGAGGTGGGTATGTTTCCACAGTGCTTCAGCATGAAGCCGGAACAGATGGAAGGTGGGGAAGCCATGTGGCTGTGGTCTCCACGGTCTCTTCTCACTCAGCTGATCCCATACTCTAACACCCCTGAATGACCAAGTTAGGCTGCAGTGGCACCCCTTAGTTGAGCCTCCCTATGCCTTGGCCTGGTGGGGACCCATGAAAGGGCCTGTGATTTCACCCAGCTGTTAGCAACAGACTCTGCTACTGTTTCTTCCAAATAAACTCCCACAAGATGGAAAAAATGCTACTGGCCGAAATTTTCATTTAGGTCTAGTTTTCTTTAGTGATTCTTCCTGTGACGCTGTGTGCTCACGTGGAAGGCCATCCTACACATCTCAGGGACAATGAGGTGGGATGCACTCAGTCCTGGTAAAAATCACCTACAACTCTTTCAAGGGTCACTGCTCCTTCTCCTGGTTTTAAAGAATGTTGAGCTACTTGTCTCTACTCTGCATGTTAGGAAACAGGGACACACAAACTTGGAAACTGCCGGCACACAGAAATGTGAGAAGCGGTGACGTGAGCTCTACATGGTGGAACCTCCTCCTCAGATGATAGTCAAACAGCTACAGGCTGAGATGGAAAACCACTGCAATGAGCAATGCCAGATGAAAGACCCTCAGAGCCAGGCGGGAAGTGAGTGGGAGGAGTTAAAAGAGATGTGACAAGCAACTGTAAAGACCAGAATGAGCAGGGCAGGGGAGGGTGCCCAGGGGTAATGCGATGAGGGAGAAGGGTGGAAGGCGGAAGGTGAAAGACAGCAGCACACTGGGCGCTTCTGGAAGAGTGATGGAGTGAGGTGGAACCCCGCCTTGCCTAGCTGTGGGTTCAGCAGGAAAGAAGCATCCACAAGGGGGAGGGGCTGGGGTGGGGGCTACTCAATGTTCCCTGCCTCTTTAGATGCTGCTCCTTTCTGTGACAAAGGAGAAGCCTCATCAGCAAAACACTTATGCTAATGGGAACCATGGCAACCAGAAATATCTCATCTGCTGAAATGAGAAGAGCAAGAACTAACTAAGCTGGGAGCTGTGTCCTCACCTCACCTCCACCAGAGCCTAGGGGACGCGTGGGCTACTATTTTGTCTTCTGGTTTCTGTGTTCCTAGTATTGTAAAAAAAAAAAAAAAAGTGTGTTAATGTAGTTTGTTGTGTTGTATATGAAGTGTTTTGTAGTTGTGTTTTTGTTAGTTTGTCTAGGAGTTTGTATGAGTGTGTTGTACGTTCTTTGCGTTTTGTAGCTTGTGACTTAGGAGTGCACATTATATATATGTCCATTGTATATAGTATGTGCCGTGCATGAGTATTATTGTGTGTGTGTGTGTTGTTGGTTGTACAGTTTATGCTGTGGGGGGGGGGTCTGTGTTCTATGCTGGGGAGGCTCACACTCTGATTCCCCTGCTGATGCAGACTGAGAAATGCTTGTGACTGTGAGTTCAAGGGCATGACCAGTTCCCTAGGGACACAGCTCCTGTCAGTATCTGAGGCCAGCCTTTCTCTAAGACACCCCTGCAGTGGGCATGTGGGCATTTCTCTGGAACACCTCTCTAGAAATAGCCTTCCAGATGCAGTCTTGTCATTTTTCATGTCGCTTCTCTAGTCTTTGCAAGTCAACTTTTGTAGTGAGTGTTTTGAGGAAGGCCAGTGGATGAGGGTTCAGTCAAAACAAAGGTAGTGTTTTCTTAAGACCTCAATTTAGGCTCTGACGGCAATTCTGCAAGAGAATTATTTTGGTACAGGGAGGGTTTTGTTGTTTATTCATTCAACAAATATTTGAGTGGAAGAATGACTTAAAGACCTGTGCAGGCTGGACATCTGGGCCAGCAGCACAGTCCCTCTCCAGACCATGAGACGTACTGGCGGCAAGCTGCACGAGAGAGGGAAACCTGGGGTGGGGTCTCTACAACCTGAGAGCCTTCCTTCATGCTGAGCCATCATCACCTGGAGGGGAGACAGGCACGCCAGGCCTGCAGGTGGGCCCTGGGCGGTGCGGGTGGACTTCATCTACCTGGGCTCAGCCTCCATTCTGAGCGTCAGATGCCAAACCCGAGATAGACAATGGTCTGCGCAGACAGTTTGGGAGGAAGGAAGAGAGCACTTACGGCGTGAGGCAGGCAGGGCTAGATTCCCAGGGGGCGGTTAGTAAGACAGTTTGGTTCTGGACAGAACAGACAGAGAAAGAAAAAAGCAAGTAGGTTGGAAAGTGCTTTTTTAAAAAAGAACTGTGCATTCCTGTCTTCCACGGCCATCCAGGGGAGAAGGCACCTCACCCAGGAACCGTGAGAAAGGGCAGCTTCTGGTGTCCACTCTTCCCCAGTGCCCTTTGGCACTTAACATTTCGAACACCCTGTGGCAAAGAGATGGAAGTCTGCACTATGCAGCACGTGAGCAGAGGCCTTTAAACAGCTGCTTGTTGATTCACAGTGACCAAGTGAACGCTGCTCATACTAAAAATTTCCCCTCATGAATTTTCCACTTAGACGTGGGAGGGAAGAATGGCATTACATTTCCAGATTATTCTTTCTCTTCACACCAGAACTCTTTCTCTCTGCATCACTGCAATGGCTTCAAGAGAAAAAGAGTAATAAATAGCCCATGGGGTGGATGTAGGGAGAAAGGGAGCAAGGGGCCTTCCTGTTGAGCATGTTTCTAGTTCAGGGACACCTACATCATCTTTGTGTCTATCTGAGCACACCAAAAAGGAAAGATTCCATGACGGGGTGCTCAGAGAAGGCTGGTGATCTGGGGGAAAAACCCAACCAGAACTACCATGTAAATTATGGAGTGACAGGAAGGGGTCTCCAGTGGGCCTCATATAATAAGTCAATTCAGTCAAGAACAAGGTCCCTGGAATTTCAACAAGCAATTTTGCTACAGAGAAGGAAAAATGAGTCCATGATACGTGAACACTACCAATGAATGATCCACGTGTGTGGTTAACCTCTGAAATAGTGCTGTGCTCCCTTCAAACCAGCCAGCCACTTCTTTTGATAGCAAACACACCAAGTGAGAAGAAAATCTAAACAGGCACTTTACAGAAGACCAAAGGGGGATGGGGCCAGCTTTGTACTGATCAAACCATTTTCAGGCCTGAGTGTTGCGATGTAGTCACTAACCCCTTTTTTTTTATGTTTAGAGCATTTTTAGTGACACACATTAGATTGCTTAGAGCATTTTTAGTGACACACATTATTTGGTTCCTGGAAATTAATTTCTATTTAGCCTTAAAAAAAAAAAAGATGGACACTACAGTCAGTCAGTTAATTCTTTGGGACAAAGGACAAATTTCCAACAGATTATTCCAGAGCCCTAAAAAGAGAAGGCCTTCACACAACGGATCCTCCACAGCAGCAAGTAACTTACCTCAGGGCCTCAGAGGGGCGGGGGTAACAGAAGCCCACAGCAGATACCCTTTGTCACCTCAGCATATTCAGTTATGACAGCTGTCCTTTTCAGAACATGTAAATTAACTATCACAAATAGTTGAATCTTTGGTACATGCAGGTGATACATGATCACTGTTAGGTTGCACTATATGGTACTTCAGGTCACTGGTAATTCCACATGGTTTAACTTAGTTTGGATGTAAGCCATATTTTACATTAAATATTTCTAGCTGGGTTACACTGATAAACCATAATTTTCCCCACTGTGGGAAATGTGAAGTTGAAGGTGCATCCAGTGACACAAATACAACTTCTCTTTCCCATCAGCTGTGAAGCCACAGCCGCCCAGGTCACAGGAGAAGACAGTGGGGTAGCCAGGTCACAGGAGAAGATAGTGGGGTAACCTGGGAACCAGATTCTCCCCTCTGACCCTCACCCCCTGCTGCAGCTGCCCAGTGTGGACACCCCTATGGGTGTCTATATTCCATGGTGGTGAAATTTCTCTGTCTGGGCTTCTGCTGTGTCAGGACTCATCCTCAAGTCTACAGGTGAAGCCACCAGATGAAGTGTCTGGCTGAGGGCTGAGAGACTTATTCACCACCAGAGGTGTAAGGCCTGGCAGGACCCCTGTTTTCAACCCCAGCAGTACCATTTGGCTGTGTGGTATATTTAGTAATATACCATGGGTGGGTAGGTGAGAGCAGAATTCAAGGTTGGCTGGTGGATAATGTGAAGGGGGAATCTACCCTATGTGGTAATATGTGGTCACATGTAATGTGGTAATAACATGTAATGTATAGGGGGGACAATATATCACCATGGCGTATCAAAGTGGCATTCTGACCTTATCCATTCGTCCCAGCAGAATAAACTCATCTGGTGATTATTGCTAGGGGTTTTCATGCCCAGAGAAGGCATGTGACTGGCACATTGTGAAGTTACACTGGAATCCAGACAGTCTTGAAGTTCCTGATGAGATGTTCTAGAATCCACACTGTCAGACTCTGTCCAACACAACTCTGGCACGATCACATCTAAAGACCTTGAACATGCAGAAAGCCCTGATGTGACGGGCTGCCGCTTGCTCTCATAAACACACACACTCACACACAAATTCATACAGAGGATGACAAATATGCCCCAAGTGAAAGGGTCAAATAAACAGTATCAATAACTTAGACCAGAGACAAGAACCTGAATCAAACCCTGAGCTACTTCTTAAAGAAAACATCACCTTCACGGCCTCTGAAGGTCACCCAAGACACTAATGACATTTTCTATAAGAACTAGCTCAACGTTCAAGTTCCTGCTGTCCAGTCCATTCTCTCATAAACCCTGCATCTTCTGGCTCATGAGAGCCTCCTATAGCCTGGGGTTCCTGAAATCAAACACTCTTGTACAATCTGGGCTCAGAGGCACCCAGCCTTTACACAGAAGAGCAGTGGGGTGGGGGTACGGGACACTCAGCATTCATTACCTCCATGGACCCTGGTTCAGCTTTGACTGTTTCTCTCATGTGGCTGTCACTGTTAAGACTTGGGAGGCCGTGGGGTGTGTGCCTCCTCTCCTCCTGTAAGGCATGCTCCAACAGCTTCTTGTTGAGGATCCGGGCCACATTCTCGGCCAGTGTGTAGCCAGGGGGAGCAGATAAGTCCTGCCTCACAGGTGTGCCCTCTCCCCCTTCCTCTCTGCATGTCTCTGAGCCAACCCCGATGGGGCTGGGTGACCGTCCCCGGGAACTGGGTCCGGTTTCTAGGCCTGGGTTCAGGTCTGGTCGGGGTTCTGCTGAGCGAGACCGACCCCCAGCCCGCATCCCCTTCTGGAAGGGGTCCTGCACCACGGGGCTGTGGTCAATGATGTTGAAGAGGCTGGAGAGGCCGTCATTGATGGCTGTGTGCACGGGGCTCTCCCTCGTGGTGGTGGAGCGGGCCCACGCGGACTCGCTGCACCCTTTCTGGGCCAGCCCTGGGGAGGCCCTGTTATTTGGCTGGTCAGCTTTGGGGAGGGGCTTTCTCTGCAGCTTGGGAGACCCATACTTGGGGGAGCAGCACGTGCGTTCAAACTTGGCCTGTACTTTCTCAATGGCAGGGGCCACCTGCCTGTTCCTAAGTCCTCGAGAAGGAGATGACACGGGTGTGGCACCACCCCCTGCCTTGGGTGTGAGACACTTGTGGGGGCTGCTGGTGATGGTGCTGCTGCGCAGTGCTTCGGTCTGCAGGCCAACATGGATGGTCTGGACGGTCTGGGTCCCGGTGGTCCGAGACCCGTTGGTCTGGCAGGCCATGTCTTTAACCAGAGGCTCGGAGGGTCCAGAGCAGATGGCATTCCGAACGGAGAAGGCCACCTCCTTCATATCATCACTCATGTTCTTGGACATCTCCAGGCTGTGCAGTGAGGAGGCAAAGCCCAGGGGGGTGCAGAGGGCGCTATCCAGGGGGCGGAGTCCTCCCTCCATATAATCTCGGGGGTGTCTGGAAGGGGCACAAGGCCACCTGCCAACCATGTGTTCTGAGGGCCCCCCCGTTGTGTCTTCTGTGGCCCCTCTGGCTCTAGTTGCAGAAAATGGGCACTCGGGGTCTGGCCGGCCCTTGCCCTCACTGCCTACCACCACGATGCTGTCCATTCTGCGGACCGCTGGGGGGCTGTGCAGCACCCTCACTCCGGATGGTTCAGCACGGATGTGACTTCGTAAGGGCTGCTTCTGGCAGTGCTCTGGGCTGGTCATGGTGTCCGTGGTCATGGTGATACTCGTGGTGAGGTACCAGGAGGAATCGGCAAAAGACTCGGCACTGGCCTCCTTCCCTGCCCGCCCTGCCTCGGTCCTGTCTGCCCAGGGGTCAGGGGGTTTCTCGTCCCAGCTCTTGCTGTTGAACTCCTCGATGTACTTCAGGTCATCAGGGGACAGGGGTGGCGTGACATCCTCCTTGTTGCTGGCAGCGGGCAGGCCCTTCTCTGGCAGAAAGGGAGACACGTCCATCAGGCGCTGGAACTCAGACATGGACGACACAGACACTGCCCTGTGAAAAGTGGAGAAAAGATATCAGCTGCCCACCAGTTGAGGGCCTGCTCTCCGGAGACTCCGACCCTCCCGCAGCTCCCACCAAGCATGTGTCTCCTGCCTGCACCAGGAGAGCTGCTGTGCGCTATTTCTCCTGAGCTCTATCCAGCTATTGGATGGTCCCTGCTCCGAAGCTGACCCTGTGGCTATTTAGTAAATTTTTTTTATAACTTTTTAATTTTTACTTTCTTATCTATACTTCAAGCTATCTTACAGATAGCTAATATGTTCTGGAAAAATCTAAAAAATACTAGCAACATAGAGACTTTTATAAAGAATAGTTTAAAACAAACAATATTAATAGTTTATTTTTACATCATTGTATGCCTTTTTCCATCTTAGTTGGGCTTCCCATCACCAAGCCACCCGTGTGCCATCACCATAGCCCAGTGCACTTCCCTTCCCTCCCCCCCACCCTGTTTTTGATCCCATTCCCCACTCCACCCCCGTAAAATGTCTCTTAGTTTTTCCCCTGTCCCTTATACTTCTGCTATGAGTGAAACCATCAGATTTTTTTTCTTTTTCTTTCTGGCTTATTTCACTTATTTAGTGAATTTTTATGGTTCTGGAATTGTCCCAGGAACCTTTTATTGGTCAGCTTGAATAAGGACAACTCCCAAATACTGTGAAACAAGTGGAAGTGGGGGCTCAGGGCTGTTATAACCAAATTCCAAGTCCACTCAGGAATGGTTTCACGTCAGCCTCCATGCCTCCATGGGAGGAAGGGAAGCCCGGCTGCATCCCGGCCTCCCTGCTGCTGCTGAGGTTCTGACTTCCAGGCAGTATGGCCATCACCCTGCTACAGACATGAAAAGCACATTCTGACCTGAAACCAGCCCATGGTGGGGGCGGGGCATGCCACAAAACAGCTGCCACCTGATGAAGTCTTTTTTGGTCACCAGCCTCACTGTCCATTGGCCTCATAAGCTTAACACCCCCCAAAGGCCAACTAGTTGGAAGATATAGGAGACAGGGGGAGGACTAATCAGGTTGGCAAATAATTCCAAATACTATTTTCATATAGAAATTCTACCTGGCCCTGCCCAAGTCCACCAACAGGGCTCAATGCTTGCCCACCCCCTGCTCCCTTCTTTCTAGCCAGGCTTCTTTTTGTTCTCACTTCTGCTACAAAAGCAAGACTCCGGCAAACACACACACACACACAAGGAAGAGTGAAGCTATTCAATAGGCGAGCTAAAGTGACAGCAACTTGGAGTAAGTGGTGGCCTGTGAGATGCAGATTTTGATGTCGTGTTCTCAATATCTTAGCACTTTTAGTCAATCTATATTGATTTGATGTGAATTTACTGACTGCCTCCTATAAGCTTTCTCAGTACCTCATGACATGCTGGGGGTTCCAACACACTAAGATAGGGGTCTGCTGGAGTGCTCAGTAGCTTGTCAAACTACTGGGGGCCAACAAGTGGTTGCTAGGGAAGATGCCGTGGGCTGACCAGCCCTGCTAGCTTGGATCCTGGATTTTCCTCCTGAAGCCCCTCCTGGGATGGCATGAAGAGGTGCAATGCATGCAGACCCACTGTCTCTGCAACGAGTGCCTTTCTCCTAGGACATACGAATAGCACCCTGCCACCCCCTGAAAAACCTAGGGTTCTAGACCAGCTCAGGTCTTGATAAAAGGGGTCCTAGACCACTTGCATGGACCACTCTGCACAGGACCATGCATGTGGCAAGGTTAAAAATGTGGTTCCGGCTCTCCCTGGTGGTGCAGTGGGTTAAAGTGCAGCACGGCAAGCTAGCCATAGCCACATCCTTGTGAGTTCGATCCCCACTCCGAGGTGACCCACATGACGCGGCAGACCTCTCCTGTCTCCCTGCTGCTCCCCTCAGCAGTGTGCTTCATCAATCTGCCTGTTCTGCTCCCCACTCTGACTATGGTGAATCCCCCACATTTCTGGCCTGTACCCCAGGTCTGTATGCCAAAATAAATAAACCTTAAAAAAATGGGGTTCCATTGACAAATGGGCTAGCCTACAGAGTTGGCAACGCTTTGGGTACTGGAGGCAGTGCCTCCACCTATGTATGCCACATGCTACCATTCTGGGGCAGGAGAACAGGCTGCCTATGCCGCTGCGACTTCTTACTATTCCCACGAAAGGCAAAAGTCAGCGGTATGTTTTGTTACAATCTACAGATCATCCAGTGGCTCTCTGAATAGCAGAAAGCTGATAATAACCAGCCCCAGAAATAAAGGAGGTAAAAGGACAGACTGACTTGTTACTAGGTCTAGAGCTTTCCAGCAAGCATGATTTCCCTCCTTTTGCCTCTGGTCTACTTAAGGGGTACAAAGCTATAGTGAGCTTCAGCAGCACACTGTTCCTTGGGGTGGGAGTGCACCAAAGCCCTCACCTTCTTCATGTTTCTTGGGTGTAGCTCATCTACCCCATTTCTGCCCACACAGGAGCTGCTCTCAGGATTAAGTCTTTGACATCTGTGGGGGAACTTTGTGCCTTGAGGACTTGGATGGATACCAGGGACTAAAGACTTTGTGGATGGAGAAAGATCTATTTATTTTGGCATACAGACCTGGGGTACAGGCCAGAAGTGTGGGGGATTCACCATAGTCAGAGTGGGGAGCAGAACAGGCAGATCGATGAAGCACACTGCTGAGGGAAGCAGTGGGGAGACAGGAGAGGTCTGCCATGTCATGTGGGTCACCTCGGGGTGGGGATCGAACTCACAAGGATGTGGCTATGGCTATGTGGCTATTGGCATCAGTGGCCAATGAGAAACAGGACGGTGACTACAAAAACCAGATAGCATTTGAAAATAAGCAAGGACTTGAAGACACATAGAAGACAGTACAGAGAGAATACACAAAACTGCCAGAAATGAGGGAAAGGGGCTGGCGAGGAGGGCACAGCAACTTTCTTACTTCGGACATTTTGAGGTATAATACAAATTTGACAAGAGCAGGTACTCTTTTAAAATAACAGAAGCATGGACTATGGTGAGGGCACATGAGTGATTTGGTGAAGGGAAACCAAAGGGGATTGCAGCTGAGATGGAAAAATGCACAAAAATATGTAGAAATAAATTATTATAAAATTTAAAAAAATTAACAGAAGCAATGAAGACTAATAATAAGTGTGGCAAGGAAACATGGAAGGTTGATGGCTTGTGCAGTGGGAGAGGGTTGTCACACACCCTGACGGGGACACTGAGGTGGTGACTGTGAAGAAGGGGAGAAATGTGGGAAGTCACCATGGCTAGCCTTTGTGTGCTGCTGCTTCTGTGCCAAATGTGTATTCACACATTTATGCTGCAAAAAAAGTCTAAATATCTCCTGCCTCTAGAGAGGAGCCGGGGCACAAAGCAAGTCTTGTACACTTCGGGTCACACAGCTAGGTGGATCTGAACCCAGGCTGTTTGGCTCTGGAGGCCAAGCTTGCACGTGCTGCCCTATATTCTTGGATTGTCTAAGAAAGACTCTTAGGCCCAACCTGGTGGCGCAATGGGTTAGGACGCAGCACTGCAACCTGGCTGCAGCTGCTTCAGTGCAAGTTCGATCCCCGGCCCTAGAGGTAACCACATGCTGCAGCAGACCTCTCCTGTCTCACCCGCTGCTCCCCTCAGCAATGTACTTCATCAATCTGCCTGTTCTGCTCCCCATTCTGACTACGGTGAAGGTTCTCGCTGCCCCTGTACCTCTGGCTTGTA